GCCCATGCTAGTCCACAGGTGTAGAAAGGCTGAAAACCAGCTGGTTAGAAGGGCAGGGTCACAGGTGTAAGGTTGGAGAATGGCTGTACTAGACAAGGCTAGAGAGATACCAGATGAAGTCCATGAATCTTAATTGAAACCAAATTATAAAAACAACTGTGAGGGGCTGGATAGCACAGTGGGTAGGGCATTTGCCTTGCACGCAGCTGACCCAGGTTCGATTCCCAGCATCCCATATAGTCCCCCGAGCACCACCAGGGGTAACTCCTGAGTGCAGAGCAAGGAGTAACCCCTGTTCATCGCCAGGTGTGACCCAAAAAGTAAAAAAATAAATAAAAACAACTGTGAGGGCCTAGAGCTATAGTACAGTGGGTAGGGCTCTTGTCTTGCACGCAATCACCGTTCAATCCCAGCATCCCTTATAGTCCCCTGAGCACCACCAGGAATAGTTTCTAGGTGCAGAGCCAGAAGTAAGCTGAGCATCACCGGCTGTGGCCCAAATACAAAAACAAACAAAAAATAACTGTGAATACCATTTGGGGAGAAATTCAGACAGATGGAGTCGCAGAACTGATGGCTTATTTTGGTAACTACATAGGGCGAGAGACTTTGCCTTACATATGCCCAAACCAGATTCAATCCCTAGTACTGCACATGATCCCCGAGCATAAGCCCTGAGTATCAAGTGTGGCCCAAGACCAAATGAAAAAAGACCAGAGTGAAGTACTTTCTAAGTGGAGGCCATACTGCTGCAGTTCCCTTTCAAATATATCATGCTTTAAAAAAAACCAAAAAAAAAACCTATAAATTTCAAATCAAATTCTCATGGTAAATTTTTTTTTTTTTTTTTTGCTTTTTGGGTCACACCCAGCGATGCTCAGGGGTTACTCCTGGCTCATGCACTCAGGAATCACTCCTGGTGGTGTTCGGGGAACCATATGGGATGCTGGGAATTGAACCCGGGTTGGCAGCGTGCAAGGTAAATGCCCTACCCACTATGCTATTGTTCCAGCCCAAATTCTTTAAAATGGGTACCAGTTATAGTACAGCGAATAAGGCACTTACTCTGGTTTAATCCCCAGCATCACATAAGGTCCCCTTAGCCCCATCAGAAGTGATCTCTGAGCACCACTGGGTATGTACCAATATCCTCCCCCAAATCCAAAAAGATTTTTTTCTAAAAAGAAAATATGCCCTATCCCTCTCCTAAATACCCACCTGTACAGCCAGTAATTACTGCCTCCCTACCAACCCGAAAAAAAAACCACCAACCGGAAAGATTCCAAAGAACACTGGGAAATGAATATAAATTAAGGGTTTATTACAAAATGCAAAATGTTATTTTCTTCATTGTCAGTGATCCAAGAAAGTCGGAGCATGTGCCCTGGTGGTGCTGAGGACAAAGAGCCAGCTCAAGAGCGGGACGACAGACACTGGTTCACAACTTCCAGCAGGTGGGTGTTCTCCAGGGCAGCTGCAACCCGCTCCTTATCGGCGAGCTGCTTGTTCACTGCATGGAAAAGAAGGAGGGGAGAAGGGAATGAAAGACTGGCCTGCCAGACTGCTAGCACACTCACCTCTGCACACATGTGGACACGCGCACACAGCTGTCACCTTTCCAACACCCAATGAGGAGGCCTCGACTACCTGAACCCACATCTATTCTCGTCTCCTGGCCGACCCACCAGGCTCTTCGTGTCCGCTTCCTGTAATACGCGCCTTGGGGTAGCCTGGGTATGTAGGAGAGGAATAGGGCACAGCAGATGGGGGCGCATCTCCGTAACAACGCTCCCAGATTTTTTCCAAAAAGCCAATGCCAAGAAAAGTTCAAACAAACAAAAAAATGTGAGGTGGTATGAGAGAGAGTCTAGAAGAGACTAAAGAGGGGCTGTGAGCAAATGTCATACATTTGCCTGGCCTGGAACCCGAAGGCAGGCACGCTATTGGGGGAAAACTCATTCCTGAACTGAAGAACTCGTGCAAAGCACAGGAAACTTGAGTCCAGCTAGTGCCTCCCCAGGAACCGCCCATCCAGCGCCCCTCCCAGCTTGCCCCAAAAACCACAGGGTTCAGGGGCCCGGGGCCATGGTCCCTGCACCAGGCCACACTTACCTGCGTGCTCTGAAGCATGGGTCCCTGGGGTGATATGTACATCCATCTGGGGAAAGAGACGCAGAGCCTGAGAACGCCCCCACCTGTCTCCCCGCTTCTCCCATTTCCCCTCCTCCCCACCCTCAGCAAATCCTTCTTCCTAATCTGGTCTCTAGATTCGGCCCCTTCCATTACACCCTGGCTCCCCTATATACTCAACGTCCACCCAGAAACCTGCCTGTTATCCCCTGCCCACACCAAACTCCTCACAGCCGCCCCTGTGTGGTCCTCGCTACTTTTCTGCACTGCCCCAGCCAGTGCATTTATTCTTGCTGTCCCTTCCAGCCCCAAAGCCTTATTCAAACATCCAATGTAGCCTCCGAGACTCACACTGGCCCCCCAGGCCTGCCAATTTCAACGCACCTTGAAGCGCTGGGGAAGGGATCGCAAGAGCTTGACCTTGATGGAGAGGCCAATCAGGGTGGCCATGCTGCAGTGCGGGATGGTGGGGGTGAAGGCCACGGCCACGGTGCTCTCTGGGTCACTCACCTGGTTGCAGGGTGGGGTGACAAGAGTCAGGGCTATCAGGGCGCAGAGAGCCCCCGTTCTTGGTGGCTCCAGGCAAGTCCTCTGGCCGCGTATGGGGGCGTCAGGGTCCTTATCCATAAACTGAGCGCGCGCGCGCGCACACACACACACACACACACACACACACACACGCTTCCAAGGACTCGGCTGAGGAGCTGGGGCTCTGGGAGACCACAACTTCTTCGGGTCTTTCTGCCTCCGGAACTTGTCACCCCCCCTCCCCCCCGTCCCCGGGATGTCGGGGACTCACCTGAACTCGGACTTGCTCCACGACGTTCAGTTCTTCCAGTGTCAATGGATGTTCCGGGTCGTTGATGGAGCGAATCAGATGTGGCAAGTGAAGGAAAAGGGACTCTGTCCCATCGCCCGCTCAAGGCCCTCGGCCGGGAACGCCCGGCCTCCTCGAGACTGTCCCACCGACTCGGTAGGGGTAGGGGGGTGGGGGTGGGGGGCGCTTCACTTCACTCCCCTCCCGGCCCTTCGGTCCCGCCCGCGCCCGGCAGCGGCGGATATCGAAAATCTCCCGCGCGTCGATGCTGTCGGGGACCTGCTCGTCCTCCTCGCCCGCCGTCACCGGCCGCTCCCCGGAGCGCTCGTAGATCAGGGGGTTGGCGTTCTCCAGGAGGCCGCCCCCCATCCCGCCGACGCCGCCACCGCCGCCCACCATCGCAGAAGCGCTGCCGGCCGCTGGGGGCGGGCACTTCCGCTCCTAGCGGGACACTTCCGGGGAAGGGGCAGCAGCGGGGCGTGGCGACGGGGTCATGCGAGGGACACGCGAGGCCGCGCCTAGTGTGCTGGGGCGCGCGGGAGGCGGGGTCTGCTCGGCGCGCGCCCCAGCCGGGCGCAGCAGGGGGGACCAAGGTTTCAGGGCACTAAGCGCGGCTCCGAAATTGAATCTAGGGTATCCGGCTACCTCGGGCAGTTGCTTCTGCGGTCGTGGGTGGATGCAGGGAGGCCACGGTTGCCCCTGTCCTGACACTGCCCACTGCCAGTCAGAGCTCCCGGGGCTGTGGCTGTGCTTTGGATGGACTGGGGAGCGCTTGCCGGGTCCCCAGTGCAGCCCAGTCTGCGCTCCTTTCTGTCGGGAGCCAAAATGTCAGTACAGCCTGACCTGCGATTTAAGAACTAATGTCTTCGTGGGAAAATGTTACATTGTGTAAGTTTCTGAGCCATGCCAAGAGCCCACCGTTAGGGCTCACACCATGATTTATTGAAAATCTGCATGCTTTGTTAATTTCCCATTTTGCCCACTTCCTCCTGTAATCAATTATAAAAGGCTAGCTTGGGAGAAATAATTTTGGAGCTTGATCAGAGTCTTGACTTGCTCCCATTCTTTTGTCTCTCTCTCTTTTTTCTCACTCACGCACCCTCTCCCGGTTATCCACGATGACTAGTCCCGCGGGCCCGGGCACCTTTCAAATGTTCATCAAGTGAACAGACAGCCACGACCGTTGGCATTCGTTCTTGGGAGAAAAAGTCACCCGGGTGGGATTATCTTTCAAATAAAAATTCCTGGAGCCGGAGAGATATTCAGCTGTCTAGAAGGCATGCTCGACATGCAGAATGCGCAGACTTAGTCCTGTGCAGTCAAGAGTGACACCCACCACCCTCCACAAGCAGGAAGCATAGTCAGGAGTGACCCCCAAGCACTTAACAAGGAGTAGCACCTGAGCACTGCCAGGTATGAACCCAAAGACAGTAACAGTAAGTGCTCCTGCCTTGTGTGTATTTCCCAAGAAAAGTAGGTGGAGTGTCTATGGAGACCCCTTGCTGGGACTAGAGGGCGCGGAGTCATGAAGACAGACTCAGGAAACAGATCTGAGGCCCTCCCAGGGTAGAGTCACCTCTCCCTGCCTCTTGAGTTCATGAGGGTGCTTTCAGCTCATGAAGGCCCTTCCAGTCTCATCTGCAAGAACCCTATTTGTGCAATGCCTCCAGGAAGTTTTCCATGGTTTCTCAATCATAGTCTGTGCCTCTTCTTTTGCTCCCAAACATATAAGGGGCCTGTGTCTATTCAGTGACTACAAGAGGGGAACAGAGGGTTTTGGTTCTGTAGAGGGACCTGCAGAAGGACCCTTCTAAGGAAGCCTGGTGTGTGTGAGGGGCGAGGGGGAGGAAGGGCTTTTAGTGGACTAGAAGTGAGTCTAATGTGCCACTGATCTGTGTGGTGAGCTTCTGAGAATCCCACTCTTCATTGCCCAGCCCCATTTGCCCCGCCTCCTCCCCACCCAGTTCAAACTCCAGACACTGCCAGCTGCAGCTTCTCTGTGCAAAGCATCACACCCAGCCTCCTGCTCAGAGAAACATACCTGTGAGCGTCCATGTGGCCCGACAACCTGTCTGCGCGCTTTGTCACCGTGGCTTGTGGGATCCTGCTTCTCCTTGTCCGGGCCCAGGGTGAGACTCCCCGGCTGTTGAGGGTAGCAGAGAGGAGGGATGGTCAGAGTGCAAGTCCTGAGCAGGGGACAGAGCATGAAGGTAGCAGGGATATGGATGCAGGTATCTGCTCCCTGGGCTTTGCAGGCTGTCTGAGGTCATCCAGGGACCCAGAATTGTTCAGGTGATGGACGTTACCTTGTTATAAAACAAAATTTAACTGAAATTTTTGAAAGATCCAGCTCTTCTTCTGAAACTTGTTGGGAACAGGGCAGCCTTCCAGCTAGAGCTACAAGAAATCTGAGGTACCATACAAAACGGAAGACTTGGGGTTGGAGATGTAATACCAGTGGATAGGGTGGTTGCCATGCATGTGGCTGACCTGGGTTTGATCCCCAGCGCCACATGTGGTCCCCTAAGCCCACCAGGAGTGATCCCTGACAGCAGAGCCAGTAGTCAGCCTCAGTACCACCTCATGGGGAATCAATGCTCACCAAAAGTAAGAACAAAAACAACTCAAAAGTTCTGGGGCCAGAGAGGAAGTGAGTATAGATCACTTCAGGTCAGGTCCCCTTTGGTTTGGGGTATAGATGGGAGAGGCCTCCTCAGTAGATTACCTGAACCTGAAATTCCAGATTGATTGGTCTGGGAAAGGCTGAATCATGCTGGGAATTAAACTGGAAACACATTGGGTATTAAATTTTGGTTTTTGTGGCCCCAGCTTAGCACAAATATTTCCATTCAGGGCCTGTTTTTCTTTAAGCACCCTCCTAGGGTTTGCGGTGGTAACAATAATACCCACCTTTGATATTTGGACTTGAGTATTATATCCAGAGCCAGAGGAGTGCTGAAATACCCATTGACCCCTTCACGCCCCTCTCTGCCCTCACCCCCCCCCCCCAGGAGCCCTGTCAGAGTGCGGCTATGAAAGACTGCCCCCACCCCTGCACCCACAATTCCCCCCACCTCCACCCACCCGAGACACCTCCCTGCTGAATCCCGACACCCAGCAAGAGTCTAATTATCTCTCTGCAACCCATGCACACACCCCCAGGAAGGGTAGGTCTTGGTCTCCAGGGCAAAGATGATGGACCTTTGTGCCAGCTCAGAGTGAGTCTCCAATTACTTATCAATTACTTTTTTTTCTTTTTGGGTCACACCCAGCCATGCACAGGGGTTACGCCTGGCTCTGCACACAGGAATTACCCCTGGCGTTGCTCAGGGGACCATATGGGATATTGGGAATTGAACCCGAGTCAGCCGCGTGCAAGGCAAATGCCCTTCCCGCTGTGCTATTGCTCCAGCCCCATTAATGACTTTTAAAGCTATGTAGGCACTACAACCAGGGCATCTGGAATTCTTTTTCTTTTTTTTTTTTTGGTTGGGGGGCATGGGGGTCATTCCGGTGGTGCTCAGGGTTTACTCCTGATTCACTCCCATTGGTGCTCAGGGGACCATATAGGGTTCCAGGGGTCAAACCCAGTCAGGTGCAAAGCAAGTGCCCTATCCACGATACTATTATTCTGGTGCAGGCATCTGGAATTCCAGCAATCTCCTGCCCCATGTGTGTCCACTGTCTCTGGTTCCAAGTGGCCTGGGCCAAAAGTCATGGGCAACCATACCCTCCCCATGGTCCACCACACTAGACTTCCACACCTCCCCTGCCACCATCCACCTTGGAAGGTCACAGGATTCTCAGTCTGTGAAGTCTCTGTGCCCCCGCCTCTGACAGCTCTTCTGTTTTGGACTGAATCCAGCTTCAGAAAAAAAGAACTGAGCAGACTTCAGAGGGTGTGGGGATGGGACTGACCAGCTCCTGAGCCCCCAGCCCCAGCTCCTGCCCAGCACTAGACAGGCAAGACAGACACCTGATGCATGAAAGGAGGTGACTTTCTCCCCATGCTCACAGGCTTCATTTCCTGACCTCCGGCTCTTTTTTCCCCCTTTTTATAAATGTATTTATTGAATCACAGTGAGAGCAGTTACAAAGATTTCAGGTTTAAGTCTCGGTCATACAATGAAACACCCATACCTTCATCAGTGCCCATTCTCCACCACCAAAAACCCCTGTATAGCCCTTATCACACACCCTCCCGCTACCTGTGGGGCAGATGATTTGCACATTACTCTCTCTCTACTTTGATGACATTCAATATTTTGACACCAGACCCATCATTATTATTTGAGATTTTACCCCAACACTCAGATCTGTTGAAAAGGCAACCATAGACAATTTGTTTTCTATTGCTGGTTATGAATAACATATGATGACACATGGCCGAAGTAGTGGCCGCACGATTTTGAAATTCCAAAATTTAACACTTAAATCTGGAGGGATTTCTGCCAAAACCTGCTGGGTTCTGAAATTTATTCCTGAGTCTCTGGGATGGCCATTAAGCAGCTTGATCAGGAGCCAGAGAGGCTGTTCGTTGGCGGTGACTCAGGGTCTCGTTGGGGCAGGGAGGAAAGGGCTGGCTCCACCCCCATCCCATGAGGCCTGGTCTTGTCACTGCGGGCCCAAACCTGACTGTCCAATGGCTCTGGAGGATGGCGGCCACCGAGCTGCCAATAGGGAGCAGGCGGAGGGACAGCACCCTTTCCCCCCTGAGGTGGCCTGGCACTGGTAACCTACTGCGGGGACCAGACGCATTTCTGCCAAAAGTTGCTGAGTTCCAAGATTTGTTTCTGAGTCTCTAGGATCATGGCCATTAAGCAGTTTGATCAGGAACCAGAGAGGCCTTGCCTCCCATTATATAGCTGAGCCAGAGGTGGTTTGTGGGTGTGTCTCCCACATATCTAAATTTTGGCCATTTACTTTCTTGGTAAACTTGGCCCTAAGTTGTTGGGGTCTGGCCAAAGGCACAGCAGCAATTTGGGGGTATCTAGAAGTCTGAAGGCACCATCAGACTGCTGATGCACTTGCCTCACAGGTACAGATTGACCTGCTGGTAGCACCATACCCCTGCTGAGCTTCAGCTCTTCCACTTCCAGGCACAGGCTAACACACCTGCTCTCCTCCTGGGCAGAGCCTCCTCAGTCAGGGAGGCAATATCCTTGGTCAAGCTGTCTTCTGCTCCAGGACGCCTTTGCAGGTGACCTTGAGCAATGTGGCAACCAACCCAGGCCTCACAGGCCACGAACCTCTCAGCCTATTGAACCCAGCTGATCTGAGAGGGGCTGTAAAGATAGAACTGTGGGGAGGGTGTTTGCCTTGCAGGCGGCCTGCCCAAGTTCAATCCCCTGCACCCTATATGATTTCAGGAGCACCACCAGGAATAATTCCTGAGTGCAGAGCTGGGTGTGACCCAAAAAAGAACCCTATGCCCCCCAAAAAGAAAAAAAATCACCTAAACAGCGGATCTGCTGAGACCTAGAGATTGGTTTGCCTCCCAAGGGCTGAATTTTTCTTTCTGTTAATTTGTTATTTTCTTCTGATAATCCTTTTATTTATATAGTTATTATTTCAATCTGTTCTTATTCCAGCTCTGCCAGATTGCACAACCTGACCCTGCAGGACGGGGAGTTGTCAGAGGGGAAAGTGCATGGAGATATAACCCCAGAAGGGGAACCCAAACCTGGCTGGGTGCCTCCCTAAACCTTGTGGCACACCCAGTTCCCAAGGGCACCCTGTCTCTGTCGGTGGCAGAGAGAAGGGTATAAATAACCCCATGTGCCCGTGATCTACCTCTAACAGTTACCAAGACCCAGGCCACCTGCTTTTATCTAAATGACAGTGTCTGACTTCTACCACGACTTTAAGTAAATCCCAGAGATGAGATTGTCTGCCAAGTGTTCACCATGTCCTGCTAAAAGAAACATACACACATGCCAGTACATGTCTCACTCTCATCAGCTACTAAATCAAATGCTCTTTTTTTTTCCATGTTGACTTTTTCCAGTCTCTATAGAACCTAGTCTTTTGTTGTGGTCTATTTATTTTTTGGTCAAACGCAGCAGTACTCAGGGCTTGCTTGCTCCTGGCTCTGCACATAGGGGTTTCTCAGGGGACCATATGGGGTCACAAACCCAGGTCATGAACATAGGTTGGTCGCATACACGGCAAGTACCCTACCCAGTGTATTACTGCTCTGGCCCCTAAACTAACTTTATCCCCCAACAAATTGTATCGCTTTACCTTTGGTTTATCCTACTATAAAATGTCAGAAGTATGAATATAAGCCTCATCATCCCTAAGTTCTAGTGCCATCTATTTCAAATTAGCCCCTTGTGCCTAGGGACAGGGCTCAGAGAATTATACTGTTTTGCATGTAGGAGAATTAGGTTTGATCCCTGAATCTGCATGTACTGCTGGGAACTCTGCTGCCCCCACTCACATATGCATCTAGGGGAGAGTAACCCCTGAGCACTGCTAGATGTGGCCCCAAAACAAAATACACCCCGTACCCATTCCTCGCACCCCTCCATGTATCTAATATTATTTTAGAAATGATTTACAGGGCGTTTGTGTGTGGATGTGTGTGTTGATTGGGATTAAGCATAGGGTCTCATATATGCAATGCATGCACTCCACCAATGAGCAATGCCCCTGGCCCACAATTCTGCTCCTGCCTCGTGGGTGCTGTCTCACAGACCCAGCAGTCTCATTTGTTTGGTGCTTCTATGTAAAGTCAGCCCCCCACCCCACCCTTTTTTTTTTAAATTTTGGCTTTTGGGTCATGCCGGCGGTGCTTGGGGCTGACTCCAGTTCTGTACCCAACTAACTCCCAACAGTGCTCAGAAGATAAAGCTGGATATCAAACCCATAGTTCCTGCAAGGGCTAGAGCTATTAATAGCACAGCGGGTAGGGCGTTTGCCTTGCGTGCGGCCAACATGGCCGAGCCAAGTTCGATTCCTCCGCCCTTCTCGGAGAGCCCAGCAAGCTACCGAGAATATCTCGCCCGCACGGCAAAGCCTGGCAAACTACCCGTGGCGTATTCGATATGCCAAACGCAGTGACAAGTCTCACAATGTTACGGGGCCTGTTCGAGCAAATCTATGAACAGTGGGAGGACAGTGACAGTGACAGTTCCTGCAAAATGTGCCCTAAGCCCAGTGCCCTGCTCAGGATTCAAATAAGGCCCATGCTTGAGAATCGGTACCTGTGTTTCTTTTCATTCTGATGGGGGCATCTCCCAGTCAGAGCTCAGGTGGCACAGGGGCCCCTCCTGACATTCTCTTCATGCGTCTCAACCCCAGGGCTATCTCTCTGTCATGTGTTTCTTTATGACAGCCCTGGGATATAATGCACATTGCAAATCATTCACCCTTTTAAGGAACGCAATTTCATATTTAGTCGCAATTTCATATTTAGTTGCTTTCATATTTAGTCTCAGAGTTCACCAAATTAGTTTCATTTTCCCCCAACCTCAGTAGATTGGTTGTTCAGTCTCTGGTATGCCAGTTCTGAATGTTTCGTATAAATGGGATCATTCTAGTATGTGGTCCAAAATGACCGGTTTACTTCACTTACTATACTTTTGGGTTTTGTTGGGTTTGTTTGTTTGTTTGTTTGCTTGCTTGCTTGTTTTATGCCCACACCCTGTGACACTCAGGGGTTATTCCTGGCTCTGCACTCAGCAGTTCCTCCTGGTGGGATTCGGGGACCATCAGTGGTGCTGGGAATCCAACCCAGGTCAACTACATGCAGAACAGGGCCCTGACCCCTGCAGTATCTCAGCTGAGTGTCCTGTTTTCACTCTTGCCCTGAAGGGTCTTTCCTACAGCGTTGCTGGCCATCCAGAGAGTGAGCACTGCAGGGACAGCACCTTAGTCTGTGCTGTCCCCACACTTCTATTACTGCCGCATGGGACCCGGCTCTCAGGCCTCCCTCATTTTCTTGAAGCTCCTGGAGCCCGGATGAGTTGGTGACAGTGGGCAGGGGACCAAGTGAGAGACGGGGGGTTCAACCAAGTGTTTGGAGAGCAGGTTGTGGGGGTGAACAAAGATAGGTGATAGGTGCTATCATCACTGCTCCAGTAGGGCCTGGGTCCTAATGCCCTCTTTGCTGTCCACAGGTCAGGATTCCGCCAGCCCCATCCGGACCACACATCTGGGACAGGTGCGGGGGAGCCTGGTGCACTTGAAGGGCATCAATGCAACTGTCCACACCTTCCTCGGCCTTCCCTTTGCCAAGCCGCCCCTAGGGCCGTTGCGATTTGCACCCCCTGAGCCCCCTGAAGCTTGGAGTGGTATCAAGGATGGAACCTCCCACCCAAACATGTAAGCAAGAGCTCTGGGGACTGTAGACCCTGGGGTGGTGGGTGCTCTGAGCATGGGGTGAGGGGCACCCCACCCTTCTCCACAAAATGAGTTTCATTCACTCAGGCAGCCGATGTCTTTGACTTTCATGTCTGTCCCTGGCCCGTCGGGGTACCAGGACACAGTGGCGAGTGTCAACAGATGTGAGCATAGTGGGTTCTCATGAGACCCCCTCAGGCCCTCCCCACCTTGAGAACCTCCTGGAAGATTCCATCTCAGCTTAGTGATGAGGGATTCCAGGGAAGGTTATAGATGAGAAGGGTATTGAAGATGGGGCACTCAGAGGACCGGGTGTCCCAAGTCTGACTGCCTGTCACGGACATGGCCATCCACCAGTTGTCTGCAGAACATGCCTGAGGTGACTGGAATAATTCAAAGGATGATGAACAGGACCCTGCAATCCACCTCCATGTCTGAAGACTGTTTGTACCTCAACATCTACGCTCCTTCCCATGCCCGTGAGGGCTCCAGTTTGCCGGTGAGTGCCGGGTCCCCATACATGGTACAGATTAGGACAGGTCCACTGCCAAGGACAAGATGTGCTGCAGGGTGAACCCTATAGAAAGTGCCCCTTGTACCTAGAGTGGGCAGCTGCCCCCAGGGCTTCAAGCCTGGCTGCTTCCAGAGGTTAGAAATAGACCCTCAAATGGAACACCCTCAACTTATGCCCAAGAAATTACATCCAGAGATCATTTCTTGGGCCCACAAGAATGGAAGTGCACCAGAGATGAAGTTTCACCTCCCAGAAGGTTCTGGGAGAAACAGCGACCAGCCTTGGTACCTGGGACAGGTGGCAACACAGGGGAGGCCTAGTTTTACAGTTAGAACGTGGGGCCGGAGCGACAGTACAGAAGGTAGGATACTTGCCTTGCATGCGACTGGCCAAGTTCGATCCCTGCACCCCATATGATCTTCCAAGCACTGACAGGAGTGACCCCTGAGCACAGAGGCAGGAGCAAGCCCCAAGCACATCTGGATGTGTGACCCAAAACCCAAAAGTATCTTTAAAATATAAAAATGCACTGTAGTACTGTCCTCCCATTGTTCACTGATTTTGCTCAAGCAGGCACCAGTAATGTCTCACAACAAATTGTGGGACTTATTGTTACTGTTTTTGGCATATTGAGTACATCACGGGTAGCTTGCCAGGCTTTGCCATGTGGGCGAGATACTCTCAGTAGCTTGCTGGGCTCTCCGAGAGGGAAAATATAAAAAATAGACCCTGAATATCTCCAGGCTCTGTCACAAAGACACCCCTTGTTTCATCAATGTTCTGTGGGATGAAACAGCTTCAGGCCAAGTGAGAACACTGTCTGCCTCGGTTTCCCAGGTGATGGTGTATATCCACGGTGGGGGCCTGGTGATGGGCATGGCCACCATATATGATGGCTCAGCACTGGCAGCCTTCGAGGACGTGGTGGTGGTGATAATCCAGTATCGCCTGGGCATTCTGGGCTTCTTCAGGTGATCAACTGGGTGGGGTTGTGGGGGGCCAGGCCTCGCGGACAGAATTAACCCAGCACTCCCTGTGAACCCCCCCTCTTTGCTACCTCTTAGCACTGGAGACAGACATGCCTCCGGAAACTGGGGCTACCTGGACCAAGTAGCTGCTCTGCGCTGGGTCCAGCAGAATATCGCCAGCTTTGGGGGCAACCCAGGCCGCGTCACCATTTTCGGCACGTCCGCGGGTGGCACAAGTGTGTCCTCACATGTGGTGTCACCCATGTCCAAAGGACTCTTCCATGGGGCTATCATGGAGAGCGGTGTTGCCCTGATGCCCGGTCTCATCGCCAGCTCATCGGAGGTGGTGTCCAAGGTGAATGCCCCACGGCAGGGTTCCCCCCACGAGCCTCCTTCTGTCTCTTAAACCTCCAAGGCCTCCCCACCCCAGAGTCTGAGAACCCACAGCTAATGGAGACAGAGGGCCAGGGGGAGCTCAGGGTGAGAACCCCAGATATCTGCCTTCACAGAGGCGCCCAGTGCTGTCTCCCTGGGGTCCGCATCTCAGCAAGGACTGGCTGGGCAGCGGGATGCCCCCTCTGGTTGAGACCCCTAATCAGTGGGAGAAGTCAGAAGCATTTTAGACCCACAGGAATCCTGGAGCGCACCTGGACCCAGCAGGGGATGGCTTGCAAGCCCCCTTCCTGGGCCACAGGCACAGGCTGACCCACCGCTGCCCGGCCTCTTTGCAGATGGTGGCTGAGGGTTCTGGCTGTAACCAAGGGAACTCCAAGGCCCTGGTGCAGTGCCTGCGAGGCAAGAGCAAGGAAGAAATACTGGTCATCAATAAGGTCAGGCTGAGCCCACAAGATGGGGTGGGGCACATGACCCCGGGGTTCGGGGCTTGGTCTTTCATGGGGGAAGTGGAAAACAGGTCAGGTCTGCCAGGCATGCAGCCTCCTGGAGGGTGTGAGAGGTCAGGTAGGAGTCTTGGCCTCACCTGGCATGCCTGCTCAGCCCTTTAAGATCATCCCCGGCGTGGTGGACGGCACCTTCCTACCCAGGCACCCGCAGGAGCTGCTGCTTTCAGCCGACTTCCAGCCTGTTCCAAGCATCATTGGTGTCAACAATGATGAATACGGCTGGCATATCCCCATGGTGAGGCTTCCCAGCATCCTGGACCGGGGCCCGTGATGGGAGGGAGTGGGGGAGGGTGAGTGGGTATGCAGGGATCTGAAGTTCCAAGCCTATCTCCACCCCAACTCCGGACACCGCTCAAACCCCCTCCCCCCAAGGCTATACAATCCTCTGACACTGAAAGGAAAATCGACAGGAAGGCGATGAGGAAGATGTTGCAGAAAGTCTCCGGCATGATGGTGAGGCTCCAGGGTCCTCCCCAGTAGGCAGGGTAAGCCCCTTCCCTATGCACAAACACCCCCCCAAAAAAGCTGAAGTATGTGTGTTGGTGCAGGGGTCCACTTTGCATGTTCCATCCAGAGCCCATCACCCCGCCTTGCCCCTGCTGCTTCCTCACCCTGCAGCTGCCGACTCTACCCCCTCTAGGTATTGCCTCCTGAGCTCGGTGACCTGTTGATGGAGGAGTACATGGGGGACAGCAAGGACCCCCAGATCCTCCAAGCCCAGTTCCATGAGTTGATGGAGGACTGCATCTTCGTGATCCCTGCACTCCAAGTAGCCAATTTCCAGCGTGAGTCATGAAGAACCAAGTGACTGGGTCACTTCAGGGCTGCCGGTATTCCATCCTCAGATCATGGTCCCTGCCAGTCTACTGATTGGGTCCCTGGGTGTCAAGGACTTATTGACCCTCTATTTGATAAATCCTGAGGGCTTGGCTGAGAGACATTTACCAATTACTCAGTGACCTCTGGTAACTTTTGGTCAAGAACATAGTTGGGCCATTTCAAAACCATGAGTGGCCCCATCAATCCCTGGTTCTAGCCAGGGGCTCCCTTGCCCTGTCATCTACATTCCTCTTGTGTGAGCAGGAAGGCTCCAGGGGAGGGGTTGCCATGTCACAGCCTGCCCCCCACCCCACGGCCCCCCAGGTTCCCTGGCTCCTGTCTATTTCTATGAGTTCCAGCATCAGCCCAGCTACCTCAAGGACACAAGGCCGCCATATGTCAAGGCGGACCATGGTGATGAAGTTGCCTTTGTCTTTGGAATCTTCGCCTGGATCCACGACAGTGAGTCTTCCTGGCAGGTGCCCTCATTCCCAGGAGGACATGAGTGAGTGCCCTCGCAGTGCAGATGAGGATTCCGGGACTCAGAGAGGGGACGGGCTCAGGTCTCTACCTAGAAGGGCTGAGTTCAATAGATGAGCCCTGTGATCCCTCGCCTAGCTCCCATAACTGGTTGGGAAAGGGGTTACTTCAAGGCAGCATTTGTGTTTCTCAAATGGTTTTGGAGAATCAGAGAGAAGAAGGGGGGTGGGAGAGATACATAGGACCCAGGTTAAGGCTCTTGCCTCAAACACTGTCAAACCTGGCTCAGTCCTGTACATGGTCCCCTGAACATGACTAGGATCACTCCTGAGCATAGAGCCAGGAATCTCCCCTGAATACTAATGTGGCCCAGCTTTTAGTCCCAGTGAGGTAATCAGGGGTCTCTGGCTAGAAATGAGCCTAGTGTTGGGTGAGTGGTGGGTGGGGATGGTATGTGGCCAGGGCAGGGAAGTTGGCGCCATCCATCCCCAGAGGAGCCAGGGAAGGGGCCCCGCTGAAGATATTGTGGAGAGGGGCCTGAGTGTGTGGGGGGACCTGCACAGATGGGGACTGGCGCCGTGATCCTCTGTTCTCTTTGCTCTGTCTAGTTGAATTCACGAAGGAGGAACTGCTGCTGAGCAGGATGATGATGAAGTACTGGGCCAACTTTGCTCGAAGTGGGTAAGGTGTCATGCTGGAGCCCTGTCAGGGCTGAGCTAGTAAACCAGCCCAGCTCTGAGACCCATGTGGACGGAGGGGAGCTGCATGATAAGCCCCCACAGTGCCTGGGCTGCCACCTCATATGGGGACAAATCAGCCCCTGTTGATGCAGACCTTCTCCCTGGAGTTGCTTCTATGTGTCAAAACTTGCCCCTTGGCTCCCCAAAGGTCAGGGGAGGTCAGGTTGGCTGCCGTGCCCAACTGTAGTGGGGTACTCGGCTCTGAACTGCCCCCAGCCCAGAATGACTCACACACTTGCCTGGGTGGGGTGTTTGTCTGCAGGAACCCCAACAGTGAGGACCTGCTTCACTGGCCCAAGTTGGATCAGGAGGAGCAGTACCTGCAGCTGAACCTGCAGCCGGCGCTGGGCCAGGCCCTGAAGGCACCCCAGCTCCAATTCTGGACCAAGATGCTGCCACAGAAGATCAAGGAACTCACATATGCCCAGGAGAGGTACCAAGAGCTGTAGCATCCTGTGTCCAGGTCAGGTGTGGCGCTGGAGTGTAGATCGGGGGCTGCCCATGTGACTGCATGCCTCACTGGGTGCTCCCTTGAAGCCGAAGCTAGAAAAGCTCCAATGGACTTTCTTAGCACTCAACTGCATCCTTCCTCAAGTCTGCCCTTCCCCACAACTCCTCACTCTCCTGTTAGCCCCCGGCCTTCCTGTCTTGAAGGAAAGTGCCATGGGATTCCACCCAGGCCTGGCTCTGAGCAAACCCCCATGCTCTCATATCTGAAAATGCTCGACCACGTCCCATCCTATGCCCCTAGATGCAATATCATCTTCCATTGATATTTTTCTGGAAGAAGAGGAGGGATTGGACCACACCCAGTTTGTTCAGGGACTGTGTGATCCGGAGGTGTTTGGGGGACCATATGCGGTGTCAGATCAGACAGGGTTGGTGCTATATGTTATAAGGGCATGGCCCACTGTGAATCTCTCAGCCCTACCATTGTTTAAACCACCCATCCACTCACTTATTAGTGTCCCTGAAAGGAACTGACCTTTTGTTAAGAAGCAGAACACACCTTGGCCCTGAGCCTGGGAGCCTGGGCCAGTGCCTGGGAAGTGACCAGGAAAACCTGCCACTTCCCGTCACCTGCCTCCTGGATTTACCTGAATGCTAAGAGGCACAGCGGAACCCAAACTTCACCACATCTGGAGCATTAGGTCAGATCCAGAAATTTCTCTGCACGGTTGTGTGTCCTGGATCTCAAGGGCTGCTGCACCCAAAAAGGTCTTCACTCATCGTTGTGACACCATCCCTCCAGTGCCCCCTCTCCTGAGTCGTCCCCAACTTACCCTCGAGGTTCACATGATTCACTTTTTTACTTGCCTTCGTGGTTTTCCCTTAGCTTTTCTGGCCCTCCCCACCCCTACTTTATCTTTCCCCAAAGAAATCTCTCTTCGCCACATGCAAAGGTATCAGACTGTGTTCACTCAGCCTTGGAATGCCACGGAGCATCCCTCATCTCAAAGGAATATCCCTCACCTCCTGGACCCAGGACTTCCCCTCTGCTCCCACCCTTGCTCCCATCTGGGAGCTAGATTTCCGGAGAAAGCCCCATTTTCTTTTCCTTTGCTAAACTTAAAAGCCCCACCTGTAGCTCTTAAAAGCCTCATCCGAAGGGACCAGAGTGATAGCACGGGGGAAAGGGTGCTGGTCACAGCAGGAAGGGCGCTTGCTCTGCAAGCGGTCAACCCGGGTTTTATTATTGGCATCTTCCATGGTTCCCCCCACCCCCGCTAGTGGTAGTTCCTGAGTGCAGATCCAGGAGTAATTCCTGAGCACCACCTGGTATGGCCCCAGATGCTATCAAAAAATCTCACCTGGGCACTGATGGAGGGATGGGTATTCTATCATTGTATAACTGAAATCCAAGCACAAAAATGTGTAAATCTACAACTGTACCTCATGGGGATTCACTAATAAAAATCTAAATTAAAACAAAACCAAAAAAAAACCCTCACCTGAAGAGGTGCCGGCATTGCCCACTCTGGCCACCAGATGGCAGACAAAGACATCCATAAACCTGACCCCGCCGGGGTGGCAGAGGCTTTCCTTCCCAGAACAAGGGTAATGCTTGGCCTGCTTGCTTCCCGCATCAGCCTCTGGGGACCCTTGTCCTTATGGCTCCAGCCCATCTCAGGCCTTTCACTCATCACATCACGCCTGCAGCCACTTCACAAGATTCAGCTTCCCTGAATACGGAGGGGCTAAATAATTCGTTTTCTGAAGAGGGGCGGCAGATCCCCTTAGAAATCTCTGTTCTAGGGGGTGTGGTGCCGCCAGCAGGTCAATCTGTACCTGTGAGGTGAGTGCATCAGCAGCCTGATGGTGCCTTCAGACCTCCAGTTGCCCCCAAATTGCTGCTGTGCCTTCGGTTAGCCCCAAAAAACTTGGAGCAAAGTTTACTAAGAAAGTAAACGGTCAAAAGTTAGGTATGTGGGAAACACACCCACAAACCACCTCCGGCTCAGCTATATATTTGGAGGCATGGCCTCTCTGGTTTCTGATTGAACTGCTTAATGGCCATGATCCCAGAGACGCAGAAACAAATCTCGAAACCCAATGGCTTTTGGCAGAAATGTGTCCGGTCCCTGCAGTAGGTTACCGGTGCTGGACCAACCCAGGTGGGAATAGGTTTCATGCCTTGGCCATCCTTCAGAGGCCACTGGACAGTCAGGTTTGGGCCTCCAGTGACGAGACATGCAGGGCCTCACGGGATGGGGGTGGAGCCGGTCCTGTCCTCCCCACCCCAACGAGATCCCAACGTACGACCTCTCTGGCTCCTGATCAAGCTGCTTAATGGCCATGATCCCGGAGACTCAGAAACAAATCTCAAAACCCAGTGGCTTTTGGCAGAAATGCGTCCGGACCCCACAGTACGTTACTGTCGCCGGGCGACCCCAGGGAGGAAAGGGTGTTGTCCCTCCGCCTGCTCCCCCTTGGTGGTTCGGTGGCCATCATCCTCCAGAGGCCATTGGACAGTCAGGCTTAGGCCCACAGTGACGAAACTTGTTGGGTCTCACAGGATGGGGGGAGCCGTGCCTGTCCTCCCCACCCCAATGAGACCCCAAGTCATCACCCATGAACGGCCTCTGGCTCCTGATCAAGCTGCTCAATGGCCATGATCCTAAAGACTCAGAAACAAAACTCGAAACCCAGTGTCTTTTGGCAGAAATCCCTCCAGATTTAAGTGTTAAATTTCGGAATTTCAAAATCACATGACCCTACTGCAGCCACGCAACATCATATGTTATTCTTAACCAGCAATAGAACACAAATTGTCTACTGTTGCCTTTTCAGCAGATCTGAGTGTTGGGGTAAAATCTCAAATAATAATGGGGGGGTCTGGTGTCGAAATATTGAATGTGATCAAAGTAGAGAGAGAGTAATGTGGAAATCATCTGCCCCACAGGTAGGGGGAGGGTGTGGGATGGAGGTATACTAGGGTTTTTGGTGGTGGAGAATGGGCACTGGTGAAGGTACGGGTGTTTCATTGTATGACCGAGACTTAGACCCGAAAGCTTTTTAACTGCTCTCACAGTGATTCAATAAATAAAAGTATAAAAAATGAAAAAAATAAGGTGGAGTTTATGCACAATTCAATCAGCTAATCAGTGGCTGAATAAATAGCAGTACTCCTACATAAAAAAAAAAAAATCTCTGTTCTATGGGAACATCATCCAGCCACTGCAGAAAGGAGCTTATCAGTGACCCCGGGCCTCTTTTCCCAGCACACAGTCAAGATGAATAAAAATACAGGCCTGGGCCGGGGGGAGGCATGGAAGCTGGAGCACCCGCTTTGATGCAGGAACTTCAGGTTCAATCCCAGAAGGTGCCCCAGCATCACCAAGAGCAACCCTCGAGTTTCCAACTACCAGAGGGGAACTCCTTCTCAAAAAACTAAACAGTGGGGGGTATGGTGCCACCAACAAGTCAATCCATACCTGTGAGACGAGTGCATCAGCAACCTGATCACGCCTTCAGACTTCCAGATACCCCAAAATTGCTGCTGTGCCTTTGGCCAGACCCCAAAAACTTGGGCCAAATTTTCCAAGAAAGTAAACGGCCAAAAGTCAGGTATGTGGGAGACACACCCAAAAACCACTTCCGGCTCAGCCATATAATTGGAGGCATGGCCTCTCTGGTTCCTGATTGAACTGCGTAACAGCCATGATGCCAGAGACTCAGAAACAAATCTCAAAACCCAATGGCTTTTGGCAGAAATGCATCTGGTCCCTGCAGTAGGTTACCAGTGCTGGGCCACCCCAGGTGGGAATAGGTTTCGTGCCTTGACCTGTTTCCCCTGGCGGCCTGGCGGCTGCCATCCTCCAGAGACCACTGGACAGTCAGGTTTGGGCCCGCAGTGATGGGACACGTGGGACCTCACTGGATGGGGGTGGAGCCAGCCCTTTCCTCCCTGCCCCAACGAGACCCCGAGTCACCACCAACAAACGACCTTTCTGGCTCCTGATCAAGCCGCTTAATGACCATGATCCCAGAGACTCAGAAACAAATCTCAGAACCCACTGGCTTTTGGCAGAAATGTGTCCAGACCCCACAGTAGGTTACTGTCACCGGGCCACCCCAGGGAGGAAAGAGTGCTGTCCCTCTGCCTGCTCCCCCTTGGTGGTTCCGTGGCCACCATCATCCAGAGGCCATAGGACAGTTAGGTTTGGGCCCTTAGTGACGAGACACGTGAGGCCTCATGGGTTGGGGTGGAGCTGCCCTTTCTTCCCCGTCCCAACATGACCCCGATTTGCCACCCACGAATGGCCTCTCTGGCTCCTGATCAAGCTGCTTAACGGCCATGGTCCCAGAGACTCAGGAACGAATCTCAGAACCCAGTAGCTTTTAGAAGAAATCCCTCCAGATTTAATTGTTAAAATTTCAGAATTTCAAAATTGCAAGGGCACTACTGCAGCCGTACGACATCAGATGTTGTTCATAACGAGAAATAGAAAACAAATTGTCTACTATTGCCTTTTCGGCAGATCTGAGTATTGGGGTAAAATCCCAAATAATAATGGTGGGTCTGGTGTCAAAATATTGAATGTAATCAAAGTATATAGAGAGTAATGTGGAAATCATCTGCCCCACAGGTAGAGGGAGGGTATGGGATGGGGGTATACTGGGGTTTTTGGTGGTGAAGAATGGGCACTGGTGAAGGTGCGTGTGTTTCATTGTATGACCGTGACTTAAACCCAAAAACTTTGTAATTGCTCTCATGGTGATTCAATAAATAAAATTATAAAAACTGAAAAAAAAGTAAGGTGGGGTTCATGCCCAGTTCAATCAGTCTAATCAGTGACTGAATAAATAGCAGTACTCCTACATAAAATAAATAAATAAACAGAAGTCTACTCAGAAACAGGTGTCGTTAAACAGGTATCATTTCCAAGAATCAAATTGTATTTGGTGGTGGAAAATGTGCATTGATGAAGGGATGAGTGTTTGATGA